CCCCAAAACCCCAAAACCCCAAAACCCCATAAGAATATATTTTTAATGAGAAAATAGAGAAATATAAATGAAAAAGAGTTATTTATTTATGTTGTTAGTTGAACTTAAATTCTTAAAATAGAGGAGACTCACGCGGTTATTAATATTCATATTATTACTTTATTAGTTAGTGTTAGTTGTGAGGACTAAGAGTCTAGGCATAGGGGACCAGTGAGGACGGATGACCGTAGTTGTAGGTAACTGATTGACTTAGAGGGTTCAAAGACTTATCCACCACGGATACATGAGATGCTGCACATTTTCATGACAGTAAAGCTCATGACTTGAGAGATATGACGACCCACCCACTCACTCACATACAAGATAGAGAGAGTGAGTGACTCACCGATATTGGCAACCACTCAGATTAGTGTTCCGCCAAGGATGCGATGCACCGTTTCTTAATAGTATGACTGGACCGATTGATCGCTGGACTGACTCTCACTGGTCTCCCCTTCGTTCTTTAATTTCTTAGTGAAATCTGTAAGTTATCAACACATTCATCTCATAATAATCTCAATCTGTTTCTTTGTGTGTTCTCTATCTATCACTTGTCCATTAACCATCATTGTACTTACTTCTCCTGTTCATATCTGAATCTTCTGCAAGTGTAGAGTATTTCACTGATACTAACTCTTGTCCTTTAACTTATCTGTCTTTCCTAATTCCCGTTACTTCTTACAACATCCACTGAGTGAGATCATCATCAAGTCATGCATGTTCAAAATCATAGATCTACAAATCCAATGAAAGTCTTACTGGTTCATTAGCGCATGCAGTGGGTAATAGAATGAGGCAGCTTACAACAATTTTGCAACCGTCTAAACCATGTTTGCATTAATTCCTATTCCTTCAGCCTCATTTGTAATAAATCAAACGAAAGAGATCTTTCTCTGGCCCCTGGTCTTAGTGTATTAAGTAATATCCTATAGAGTGGTAACGGGGTGGATCATGTATTTTCTCAAAGGCTTTTAAATCTTACTAAAGTTCTTGATTATAGCATCTTGATTGAGTTTGTAATTCATTTGTCTTTCTCTCTTATTGTTTCATTCAAAGTGACTTTTATTTAATTCATCAACACGAACCATCATCCATATCCATCATTCATTTTCTGTAGGTAGTATCTCAGCAACTGAGAAGTACTAGTTTTTGCTTTGTCTGAGTAAATATCGATGATTGTCTAGAAGTTTAAGAAAAAAATCACATGATAAGAGCGAGAGCCAACAAGATGCAACTCCTCAATTATTTGAGTCTATTAAGAAACCATTTATCTGTCACGAAGGATTAGCCTTGATATCCCATGATCATTTTAGCATTGAAGTATTGTTGTTTAGGGTTTGGATATATATCTGTATATATTAATGGAAGAAATCCAATGAAAGACAATTATCTATTATTGTTACTAAAGGTATGTTTGTTCTTCACTTTGCAGTAAGTGAGCCTCCATAAGTATTGTAGCTTGCCGCTTATTAACATATTATCTAAGAAATACCTTTGAATCTTGATGATGATAAGGGTCTAACCGAACCTCACTATCAGTCACCTTTGTTTCGTAAATGACCTATAAAACTATCAGAGTATCACATATGAATTAATGAATTGTTAGCCTTTGATTCAGGATTCAGCTAGTCGATAGGTTAATTCAAGAATTATCTGGTCATTAAGCTGGGCAGTCAGTCCTTTGAAAAAGTCTGTTCCCTCTTCGCTTCTTTCTTATCAGAATCTGTTGCCTTGTCTGTGATTCTCGAGTCTAGTCGCTTTGGCTTCCAAGTTTCTCACTTCCGATCTTCGATTGATCAATGTAGATTCCTGAGCTTTCCTAGAGTTTTTCCAGTTTCTCCTGATTTCCCGATCCTTTCAACCTTCACTGAACGCACTCTCAGATTTCTTAGGTCTGCTTGAGTCTTACTCTGAGTGGGTAGATTGGTTGTTGGTCCATTTCCGTATGCAACTATGTGACTTCCGGACATGTCCACAGGATCGAATCTAGAAGTTTAAGAACAAATCACCTTTAAAGAAGCAGGTGTAGTCCAAGCCTTCACTTAAATGCTTGTTTACATTTGTCCTCAATGTTTGTCTTTTCTAGTGCTCATTTCTTCTAACGATCATCTCTATCTTGTGATCAATGGATTGAAGCAACAGATAATCTGAGAGCCAGGGGATCTAAGATGTTTTCTAATAAGAAATACATACAAACCTAATCAGTCAGATGTCCTTTCATCCCAAGACCCGAGTTGGCTCCGATATGTCAGGGACAAGTCTCACACCAAACTCGGATCCTCTCTCTTTCGTTCAAATTTATTATTATAAAAAATTCTATTTCTAATTAATATATCATCCTGAAAGCGAATAAAATTAATTAAGTTAAAGGGGTACTATAACTTTCTAATTTACGATTATATTTATTCCATTTAGAATTTATTAGTTTATTTTATCATTTTCTTAAACTTATAATCATTCCTATTTGCTAGTAAATTTATGTTTCGGGGTTTTGGGGTTTTGGGGTTTTGGGG